ACGAAGATTCCGACTAACATTAGAGAGTTTGAGCAAGAGAACGAAGTCGGACGACGACGATGTGGACCGTGGTTGACTGTCTTGCACATTATCTTACGCATTCTGAGTTTAGGGTCAGGCGTGAAAACAGATTAGAGATTTATGTCTAGCTGTTTATGAATGCTGACCCAAGTCCTTACCCTGCTCAAGACAAAACAGCGAGACATGAATCCATATCTCGTCTTCGTTCTTCTGCCTTCGTTCACAACGAATATTTTGGCAAAATTCGTTGTGAACTTCGTTCTGCACGAAGGCAGAAGGACAAAGACGGGATATAGTTTCATGTCTCGTTGTTCCCTTCTGGATCAGGGCAAGAATTATGGTCAGTATTCATAAACAGCGACACATGGGAAGACACGTTGAGCAACCACCAGTGACGTCCAACTCAGTATGCGCAAGATAATGTGCAGACGCAAAAATTGGCAAGTTCGTCTTCGTACTTCGTTGTCTTGCTCAAACTCTGTATTGACAATTTTCCTACGGGTCTCCTCCCTCCCCCCTCCCCTCCGGCCACGGCGCCACTGCCGAGCCTGCATTAAAAATTCACTTGTAAAAAAAACCCAGATTGGTTTAAACTTCATCTAACCCTCATTTAATACATATTGAAGTAATTAGGGTTAGAAAAGGTATGTGTTTCAAGCTGTGTGCCGCAAATGGCGAACAAGTGATTTTAGGTTTCACACCGATGCCCAGCAAAGCATCTATTCTACAGAATTTTTGCATTATTGACAGCATGAAGCTATATAATCAAGGATTCCCTTTTTATACAATATATTTTATCAAGGGGCCCCCAACATTTTTCCAGGGGGGGGCCAAAATTTTGCCAGGGGGGGGGGCGGGTCCCCCGGCCCCAACCTCGTTCCCAGGGTCTTCTTAGAACGGCGCGAGGCGAAGGAAAGACCCTGGTTTCGGCTGGTCACGTGTCAACCAGATTCTGGGTGATAAATTAAAATGATACTACAGTCGAACCCCTATTAAGCGGACACCTTCGGGACCTCGCCTAAGTGTCCGCTTAAAAGGGGTGTCCGCTCAAAAGAGGTATGTAGAAAAACACAGCAGGAGGCAAAGGGGTGTAATTAGGTGTGTAATTTGAGTATCAAGACAGTAAAAAATATCAAGCAAATAATTAGCATAAAATGAAAATTTCTTTGTGCATAAAAGTTCATTAGCAAATGTATACGTCTCTCACAGTCATATAAGAAAGGAATCGATACAAGTTTGCTTCCGAGACTCACGCAGACGATAGCCCATTATAATGTCATTTACATAAAAATGACGTTAGAAAGTTCTTCCAAACCTCGAAATTGTGCGAATTCTGCCAGCCGCTCGACAAATTTAAGAGCTTCGGAGGAAGATTTAATGACTGGTTCGTTAAGAGACCAATCAGATCTTCGTTCAGTTCGTTGTCATCATCAGTGATTTCACACATATCTTTCGGCTCCTTGGCTGGCGGCTCACAGTCTTCGTTCGTCACTTCCTCAATAATCGTGGCTCTGATGTCTTCGCGCCAGGTTGGTGTGTCACTGTCAATGTGCCATGTAAATTGATCTCAATTGTTATTTACTGTCGAATATTGAATACATTTTATCAGAAAATCCGTCATCTGTCCGCTTAAGAGAGGTTGGTTTGCCCATTGGGACCTCAAGTAAGGTGTCCGCGTCCGTTAAAGAGGGGTGTCCGCTTAATAGGAGTTATGATAATAGTATTTTATTAAAGGAAAGGAATGGGATCTGAGATATGTGTCCGCTTAAAAGAGGTGTCCGCTTAAGAGAGGTGTCCGCTTATAGGAGTTCGACTGTATGGGCAGGGTTGGAGAGGAGCGTGTTTGTCGCGTTTGTAACAATATTTGCAATTCTGTACGATGAAATTTAAATTTGCAACAAGAAATCGTAAAGAGAACTGCAATTAAAAATTAATATTTATCGTGATGTGACTTTCTGCTCTATAATCTAGTGTCGAGTTACAATTCAAGCAAGTTGGATCAGATTTCAACTTACAAGGAAAGCACGCCTGGGCGGCGTGGCAATAGCGTACAAGAAAATTCATATCTCTAGACCGACCAATGTGGTTTATATTTTATATTTAACTGTTAGTATTAAAGTATATCCTGATACTCGGACCAAAAGAATCTAATTATTGATGAGATGTGGAATTGGAACGAAATAGCGAGATCTTTTGATTTCCGAAATATCGCCAAGACGCCAACTGTATCGAGATTGTTGATTATATTAAAAGGCCTTATCACAAAACTTAAATCCCGTCAAAAGACTATAAAATTTCCTGCAAGATCTCAACGATCACGGTATATGTCAAAGTCTAGCTGTCCGTTGAAAATCTACGGTATTACAGTAAAGTCATACATCAAAGCTTAAGATAAGTCAAACGACAATATATTTGTCTTACTGTTTACTACTGTGTTTATACCACATTTATAAATTTTATAAACAGCTTTCGTTTTGACACAAGCTTTAATTTTCTGCTTTATATATATTCTTAATAATACAAGTGAGATTTAAATTTTTTGCTTTGTGAAATAGAATACCGTTATTTTTAATGGACAGCTTGTATCGTCTCTATCATATCCAGGATTGCTTGTGTCTAAATAGCCTACATGTATCACTATATATGCCACTATCAAATAAATATAGAAATATAAATGAACTTATTGAACTAGAAATCAACAGATGTTTGAGACACCATGAAAACTGTTAGTAGCCTTAGTAGAAGTAGAAAACTCGAAAATTTATGTGTATTCGTATGGCAGTCTGTGCGCGTCTGACACTGTAAGTTTGTGATGTAGATTATAGCCTAGTTGTGTGCATATTAGGAAAACATTATCTGACCAAGAAAAAGGCTAAAGCCTTACTATAATTAATGAATACGAATTATGTACTAAATCCAAAATAAATCACTGACAGACATTTCTCTGTTTGGCTATCAATCAATTTTGGACGAGGCACGTGACCAGCCGATACCAGGGTCTTTCCTAAAGACCCTGGGAACGAGGTTGGGACAAATGTAGGGATACGATTACTCGTATTTCAACGTATTTTAACAATAACATACATATTGTATACCAAAATGGTCTAAATACCAGTATAACTGGAACCCCATGGCCGAGCCCGAAGCTAAAATTGTATTTAACATGACAGAATTGGTTTTTCGACAGGAATTAAATTTACTAAGATTTCAAATAGTAACGTTCATATTCGGTTATTCCAGAGAATATCTCCAAAACCTTTTGGCTAATCAAAATTTTGCACTTTCTAATTCCGATCTAATACGGTGAATAGGGCAAACAAGGTAAACGTCCAATATGTACCTGTAAAATGTACCGAACTCATTCATGCACAGGGTTCGAAATAACGTTCTGAAAATATGTAAAATTTTGTAGGCTGTTTTTTGCAGCTGAAAATTTTTGCCAGCTATTTTCCAAGCGAAGTTTAGTTATAACTTATGTTCTGGAGTGGGCATAGGCCAAATAATAGTGATGTCAACCAACGCAACATTTGTAAGAACGCAGCAATAAATTTAATTTATTTCGTGTAGGAACAAACATTAACAAGTTCTGCGTATATGTACGTATTATTGTAAGTGAGTCATCGGTGAATAAATATTTCCGCCGATCCCCTATGCTTTGAAATTAAAAATCGCCGGCAGCCGGCGGCTATTTCGAACCCTGAATGCATCAGCACGTGACTAATGGCATTGTACCTGCAATTTTTATATTCAGATTTTCGTCAAGTAAGAGGTTCTCCGCCTGACAACACAAAATATAGAATAAGTTAAACATCTTAAGCCAAAAACAAACTATTTCATTTATTCTAATGTGATCGAAGCACGAAAATGTATTTTTACGAATTATTATCAGATAGAAGAATGAAACATGCCTGTAAAAAGAGAAAAATTTCGCCTTGGAAAATATAAATCTTAAATTGGACCGTGTTAGCACATCCTGAGAGGGTGTGCACCTACCCCAAGAACATTTTCTAATCTAGAGTTTGAAATGCGATATTTCATAGAGTTCTGATGATTAAAAACATCAACTCCTTCTTAAAAATATTTAGATGATAGTGACCAGTGGTGTTAGGCAGCATTAAACAAGGAAACAACAAACATAAAGAAATCAGGAAAAGAAAGTAAAGTAAAATAAAGTAGAGCAAACAAACAAACAAACAAACAAACAAACAAACACACAAACAAACAAACAAACAAACAAACAAACAAACAAACAAACAAACAAACAAACAAACAAACAAACAAACAAACAAACAAACAAACAAACAAACAAGAATGCAACCGAACAAAAATAGGCAAACAAAAATAATATAATTTCGTCAACTGTCGTTTCAGTCTCACCTTGAGATCTCTATGTACAACAAATCTTTTATGGCAATACTCAATTGCTGAAACAATTTGACTGAACTTCTTCCTTGCTTCTTTTTCTGCCATCCTCCCATTCGTTACCAGATGATCTACGCAGATTAACAAAGACAATTACCAATTGTACAAATTGAAGAGACCTCCCTTCACTTAGGGAGTTTCAGAGGTTGTTTCACCGTCTTTCGAAAGCACGGGTGGTATAGATATACGATAAACTGCTGCTGTCACTTACAACTAAGTTAAGTCTGCTACTTCAGGTTGAGGGTATAGGCTATTGTTACTTGATGGGTAATCTTGTTCTGATGTACTTGAACAATCGTGTCGTGGTTGGTTGTCTCCTGTGCTTGAGG